GATATCGTGATCATAGATAAAGGGCAGAGGAAAGCCGTTGTAGTGGATGTAGCGGTCCCAAGTGATGGAAACATCAGAAAGAAGGAACACGAGAAACTCGAGAAATACCAAGGGCTCAGAGAGGAGCTGGAGAGAGCCTGGAAGATAAAGGTGACAGTCGTGCCTGTGGTGGTCGGAGCACTCGGGGCAGTGACCCCCAAACTAGATGAGTGGTTGCAACAGATCCCGGGAACAACATTGGACATCTCAGTCCAGAAATGTGCAGTGCTGGGAACAGCAAGGATACTGCGCAGAACCCTCAAGCTTCCTGGCCTCTGGTAGAGGACCCGAGCTGAATGAGGGATGGACACCACCCGAGGGGTGAGACGAGGATTTTTTTTTTATTTATGAATGACAGGCATTTCAACGTCAGGTGGCGCAGTTACTTGAAGTTACAGAGCACAGGAAGGGAGGGGGAGACGATGAGAGAGGGAGAGAGACAGAGGGAGATATCTTAAGGGGTGTTCACACGGCACATATTTGCTCCGGCGCCGCACCGATGTATTTTGTTGCGATATATTTTACACCCGAGCAAATTTTGTGGAGCGGTCACACGTACAAAGCCGCTTAGCGTGTTCGCACCGGCGCAGCGTTGGTGCAGCTCCACTTGCGGTCACACGGCAGTTTCTGCAGCGGAGCAAAACGACAGAAAACAGAGCTGTCGTGTTGGTTCTTTTTAAAACTTATACACAACTCAAGCAACTACTGTACAGGCACGTCCTTCTCCTTCTCGGTCTCCGTGCCTTCTGCTCGAGAGTGACCGCCCCAGAAAACGTAAATCAACGATGACTTCAATGACACTCAGAAAAGCAAACATGTAATGCGCCAAACAGAAAAATCAAGAGAGGAAATCACAAAATAAATTCTATGGGGGGCGGGGGGTTGTCAACACACAACAAAGGAACAAACTACACAACGGTACGTAATCAACTCTTCTCATACGTAGCGAGGCTACTCCCCCCTCGCAAACGAGCATTTGCTCCGGAGCAAATTGTAGCGTTCACACGTACCATTTTACATCAGTGCTGCCCCGCAAACGAGCATTTGCTCTGGAGCAAATTTTTAAACCACCTCCCTGAGGTGGATCAAATTTGCTCTGGTGTAAGCTGTTTTCCGGGGTTACGCCGGAGCAAATTTGCATGTGTGAACGCTCTACTGGCGCAGGGCCGGCGTAGCACTGGAGCAAATCCGTGTGAACACCCCTTTATCTACCACCTGTGGACTTCTGTCAAACGGAAATTCCCGAACGCAGTAAAAAAATAAAATAAAAAAAAAAAATAAAAAAAAAAAAGCGTATGCATTAAATGTTCTACTACTGTATTACATTAATGGCCGATTCATAACAACGGAATCTCCGGAAGCCATACGGAAGCCCACAGTAGCGCCAACTCAAGCAACTCCCGCTCGATACGACGGATTAAGTGTATCCATGCCGCTATTTTCCATCATTGGATCCAAAACGGCAACATGCAAGTGACTCTTTATTGCAGTGAGTTTTACTGGAATTGCGAAAGTTTTTAATTTCATTCATTTACGTTTACGTCCTGTAGATCATGGCATCCAAACGAAGAGGAACAGTTATGACCACGGAATAGAAAGTGATATGTATCTGATTAAACGAAGCGGGTTACAAATGACTAAACATTCAGAGACACTTGGAGTCGGAAAGACTCAAATCTACGAGACTTTGAAAAACAAGGAAGCGATTCTTGCTCAAGCCGATTCTGGCAATTTCCATGCTCAGAGTGAGTTTCTTGCGGCTCGACGGACAGTCAAGTAAATGAACGTTTCCTGGAATGGTTTGACTGTCATGGTGTTAAAAACTTTCCGCAAACTGGACAGCTAATAAGAGAGGAGTTCCATCACGCCAACTATGAGCATCGAAGAATTCGAAGCGTTCCGTGGCTGGCTTCAAAAGTTCGTTGCACGACATCAGCTGAGCAATGCTGTGATGTGTGGTGATCGGGGAGAGGTAAAGTTTGAGACAGTGAGTGAGTGGAAAGAAAAGCCACCAGGTCTCTTATTCGTCTCATTTTGTAGCAAATAGTCCTAACTTTGTTTTGTTTTGTATATTTTTTATTTTGTATTTTTTTTTATATACCTGTACTGTATGCTGCAGTTTTTGGGCAGTATATTGTTGCACTTTGCTGCTTGTGTTGTCACACATGTATGTTGTTAACATACTTGGAAGTTCATACAGGACATATGCCATAGTTCAGCGGTGTCAAACTAATTTTTGCTGCGGGCCATTTTGGAGTTACGTCTACTCTCGGAGGGCCTAATGAATGTTTAATCATCACGTAGTATCGTTACTTGTACGCAACAATTGGATGGATTAGTAGTTTTGAAATCAGTCAACTATTTGTTCACTTAATGTTCAAGTGAGTGTAAACAGGGTCAGAAAATTCTTGCAAAATCTCCCATGTTTTTGATGACACATGACAATTTGACATTTCGGTACAGATTTTGGAAAGGCTGGTGGAAGCTGACATACATCATCTGCTTTCGCGGGCCACATAAAATGACGTGGCGGACTGGATCCGTCCCCCGGGCTTCGAGTTTGACACCTATGCCATAGTTATTGCACTGTTCTCATTTTAAAAAGTATGTTAATACTTTAATGCTTTTGTTCTGCTGATGTTTGGTATGGACTGTCAACATATGCAGTTTTTTATATGTACCGCTGACCCGGCCCACCTGTCAAATTTTAGAAATCAATGTGGCCCCGAGGCAAAAATTTTGCCCATCCCCGATCTAGTAGATGCATAGCGCAACCGCAGCCACTATTGTAGCTCATATGCTCCTTATAATGCAGTGCACCCTAGAAATGAAAACACTTTTTAAAGCGGCCATTCATTGAAGGTGCGCCTTACAATCCGAAGTGCCCCATAGTGCAGAAAATACGTTAATTAAACCCAAATAGAGTTCAGCAGAATTTTTTGACTTACCAAACTGTGCCTGCTGCCATCCCAGCGCTGAACACAGCAAGGCTAAACTCTTGCCACTTCCAGTAGGACTTTCCAGCAAACAATGCTGCCCATAATTCAACCCTCGTAGGATCTGTAAATTTGACAGCAAGTTTTAAATTGTATCCTGTTAGTCATGAAACGTTGTAAATCAACAGGGGCTGAAAAAGAAAATGACATCAAAGATTGCTCTCTGAAAAACTGAACTTTTCGAAATTAAATGTTGGACAATTTTCATTGCTATTCTCAATGACCATCCAATTGGGAGCAGTACCTCATCCGTAAATAATTGGGGTTTGTAACAGGAGGGTCACGATTCAAGTCAAGCAGTGGACAAATGTTATATATCAACTTGATGTTGGTTAGCTGATCGTCTGCCTCAGAACGACTGTCAAAGTGCCCTTGAGCACCTACTTTCCAGCTCAATAGATGTAGAAAGGGTTCTGTCAGTCGTTATCTGTACCTGTGGGTAAAAAACAAAAAACAAAAAAGGACATTTCGCTTCTCTCACAGAAGCTTCGTCAGCGGTAGACAACTCTGAAGTCTCCGTGAAGACTGCGGGAAATTGATCTGCACTAAAAAGCTGAGCGTGGCCTGTTTGAGGACTGGGTGGGGATGGTTAGTCACACCCCGATGGTGAAGAGGCCCATTGATTTCTAAATTCCCTATCGTTGGGTCTTGATTAGGCCTATTGTTTGGGCTAGGGCTGAATAGCTACTTTCAGTTAGCCTGATCAGCATGTCTATGTCCCTTGGTGGTCAACAAGTTATTGTAAATAGGAGACAGGTTAAATCTGATATCTCCTTCACGGTTCAGAGAGGGTGAAAATTTTTTAACAAAAATCGCTTCCTTTACTCCCCTTTCAAACCATCTGTATCTTGTGAGTGACAATAGTTAGCACACTGCGAAAGTACGGCCCATGCCTCACTCATCTTAGCGGCCGTTATGGCTGTTGCTCATTACGGCATATGTGTATAAGGGCATGCGTATGCACGCGTGTGGGGTAACGGGTCGATCGCGGGAGGTTAGTTGTTTGAAAAGTAGATTTTCCATCCAAAATGTTTGGGCATCCCTCCTCTACAGGATGAACTGCAGGGGGAAAAAAAAACAACTTTAAATCATGAATATACCGTATTTTCCGCACTATAAGGCGCACCGAAAAGTCTTCCATTTTCTGAAAAGCTCACAGCGCGCCTTAAAATCCGGTGCACCTTGTGTATGGTCATTATGGTAATATGTCAAATATGGCTCCTTGCTGGAGACATGCTTGCAGTGTTCTGCTTGCTGTCGGTTCAGTGAACTGTGTCGTCGCTGCTTTATAAATAAGTTTTTGTTGCAGCTCCGAAAAAAGGAGAGCTGTGGTGTTGTTGTTTTTTAAATGCACACTTTATTAATGGTTTTCACAGTTTCAACAAATACAGGTACGTCTCTGTCCGTCTCCGTGCCTTCTCTTCTTCCGTTTCACTCGAGAGGCGTTCATGACCGCCTCCGAAAAACGTAAATCAACAATTACTTCAATGAAACTACGAAATTTGAAAATAATGCATCAAAACAGAAAATAAAGCGAGGAAATCACAAAATAAATTCTATAGCCCCCCTACAGAATTTATTTTGTGATTTCCTCATTTGTGAATACACAACAAAGGAATAAATAACAAACACTTCTGAGACAGTCCAGTCTCCTACATTTTACTGATATCTGATCGTTCTGTTGGAGCTACGCTCAAGGGGGGCTATAGCATTTATTTTGCGATTTCCTCATTTGATTTTCTGTTTTGATGCATTCTTTTCACTTTTCATAGTTTCATTGAAGTACTATAATCGTTAATTTATGTTTTTCGGAGGCGGTCATGAACACCTCTCGAGTCGAACAGAAGGAGCGTAGCTCCATCTCGTGGATGCATTGTCGATTGCATTTTATAATCCAGTGTGTCCAACATATGAAAAAATTTAAAAATTGAAGGTGCGCCTCATAATCCAGTGCGCCTTTTCGTGCGGGCAATACGGTAACTCAAGCATATAAATGTATAACTCAAGTCAAAGTTGAAAGTCAGTGCTCTATGGTGCTAAAACAAGTATAAATTAAAATGTTGCCCACAATAATGATTCACTTATTCAAGAACACAAAAAAAAAATTAAGTGAATATTGTAAACAGTACAAGTCTAAGAGAATTTCGCTAATACAATACAATAAATATTTATTTATATAGCGCTTTCACAACAGCTTCAACTGTGACAAAGTGCTTTAAAAACAGTTAACATATCCATCCATCCCTCCATTTTCTGATCCACTTTATCCTCACAAGGGTCACGGGGGGGGGGGCGGGGATGCTGGTGCCTATCCCAGCTGTCTTCGGGTCTTTGGATAGTGGGCGGGGGACACCCAGTACCGGTTGCCAGCCAATCGCAGGGCACAGAGAGACGAACAACCATCCGCGCTCACACTCACACCTAGGGACAATTTAGAGTGTTCAATCAGCCTGCCATGCATGTTTTTGGAATGTGGGAGGAAACCAGAGTACCGGGAGAAAACCCACGCAGGCCCGGGGAGAACATGCAAAATCCACACAGGAAGGCCGGAGTTGGGATCGAACCCACGACCTCTGCACTGTGAGGTCGACGCGATAACCACTGGACTACTGGGCCAACAGTTAACATAAAATAACAAAATAATATAACACAAGACAAAACATTAAACAGGGACAGTCATGCAATCTTAATCACTTTTCCTGGATATGCTTTTTTGTTTGAAGCTGTTTTCGATAAAAGAGGAGACAAAGTGTGATTTCACCAGTTGATCAGAGATGTCATGCTCAAGTTTGAAAGTAAACAATAAGCTGCCGTGTCCATTGACGAAAAAAGAGATTGGGTCACTTGTCCTGTCCCATATAAATCCGTTTCAATTCCAAGCGGCGACTCTCAGTTCCAACTACACATCCGCGCTACGCGCCGACGCCCCCCCTCTCCTCATCCGCTGTTCCACCAGCCATTCATCCAACCGCACCAGTGCAGACTGCGCAACAGCGCCGACATGTCCGCTAAACAAAATGGCGCTGTGAAAAATGCTGCCAAGTACAGGTGCAAAAAACACAAGTACCCAGGGGGCTGTCCAGCGGCGGCAGTCAAATAGTGCCGACATTCCCCCCTATTAAAACCAGTGCTGGTACACTGTGCTGCATGTTTTTGCATGTTTCGATGAAGGCCGTATGATTAAATAAGCCGCAGGGTTGAAAGTGTGTGACAAAACTAGCGGTTTATAGTCCGGAAATTTTGGTAGGTATACAGTGAAACTCCTCTACAACGAAACCTACATGGGCGAAAATACTCCCTAGTGTGAAAAAATATTCATGCATGAACACCATTCCCACTCTCCTGCCCCCCATACAACGAAAAAAACCCTGCTGTATTATAAGAAATCTTTTTCTCTGCTCTTGCCTCGCGAAGAGATTCACTACAACGAAGTTTAATCCAACAGCGACCTCGACTGCTTCGTTCGGAAACGGCAACAGCAACCACCACACTGGTTTACACAGCTCCAAGTTTCCTGAACACAACATACTCATAGCTGCTCTGCCATTGGCTTACCGAGCCTCATCCTGACGTCCGATTGGCCAAGAGGGACCTCACTATCTATGTGTGTAGATACTGTAGCTAGATCCGTGGAAGATAGAGTGGAATGCATCCGATTAGCTGCTCAGACTAAATTGCTTGTGGCTCGACGGACAGTCAAATAAACGAACGTTTCCTGGAATGCTTTACTTGTTATCATGCTAAAAACCTTACGCTAACTGGAGCGCTAATTAGAGAGAAGGCGAGCTCCATCGCGCTCACTATGGCCATTGAGGACTACGAAGCGTCCCGTGGCTGGCTTTAAAAGTTCATTGCATGACATCAGCTGAGCAACGCTGTCTTGGGTGGCGATCGAGGGGAGGTTGAGTTAAAGACAGTGAGATAGTGGAAAGAAAAGCCACCAGGTCCAGGAAGTATTTGTTATTGTTAGATTCAGACTCAGCATGAACATTGCATTCCTAAAATGGCTACAAAACGGACCTTTGGATGTCAAGCAGCTAAGACAAGAAGAGCTCTGATGCTGGAAGAGAGGGTAAAAGTGATCAAAATGAAAGACGGAGGAAGCAAAATAAAAGACATTATCCAACAAATTGATGTAAGTGAAAGTGAATGCTGATCGTAAATTTCGCAATTTCTTTCCCTTTTTTTTCTTTCTACACTGACTATATGAAGTGTCAAATAAGTGTGTGCTCATACTTATGCACTATTGGAATAAAAATAAAGAGTACACGTACGTTTGTGTGTGCGTGTACACATACGTGTGTGTGTGTGTGTGTGTGTGTGTGTGTGTGTTTACATCTGAGATCAAATTTGCTTCTTTCACAATTTCTTTCCGTCTTTTTCTTTCTACACGGACTATATGAAGTGTCAAATAAGTGCTCATATTTATGCACTATTGGAACAAAAATAAAGAGTACACATACGTTTGTGTGTGTGAGTTTGTATGTGTGTGTTTACATCTGAGATCAAATTTGCT